GGGGGGGGCTTGCGTTTCCTCGGGGATAGCCGTGAAAAGCTCCCCACTGTTCATTAACCACGGTGAACTCTGGGGCACGCCCCCTCCCGACTGGGGCTGGTTCAAAGCCGCGCCAAAGCACAGGCCGAGCGTGTAACGAACGCGTCGGCCGTGCAGATCTCCCCCCCCACCCCACCTCACCTCAGCAGTTACCCAGCAGACAGGGTCTGTGTGCAGAGGTCGCCATCTAGTGGTCAGAAAAACAACAGCCTTCAACAGGGGCGAAAATACCACTGCAGTATTTATTTATGGAATGAAAAAGACTGATGTATTTTAATTAAATTTAAAACCACCTGCAAAAAGAGAACTCGGCAAGACAGACAAACAAATAAAGTTTGCGATGAAGTACATATTATATCAGCGATACTAACCACATTAACACAGGGAATACAGGCTCTGCTGTTCCCAGAGCCTTTGACCTCACAAACATGAGGGACAGGCGCTGCCCCAAGCCGGCAGGGCAGAGGCTCAGTCCCCAAACGAGGCAAGACACCAATTTCCATGCTGGGTGGTTAGTCAGTTATGTTAACCTTAACGCCAGGCCAGACATCAGGGATGTATTCATGGTGAACAAATGGAGAGTAAAACAGATTTAACAAATAAAAAATGTCAAGACATCATAAAAAATTTGAAAACAGCCTAATAAGGTTTTTATTTCCACGCTGGAAATTGGTCACTTTTCTCTGCCTGGGCGATAAGACCTTCACATGCCAAACACACACACACACACACACACACACACACAATCCAAATATCACAGCGCTGAATATACTAATGACGTCACGTTAGCCTTACAGCTTTTTGTATGGGGGATATTTACCTAGGCAGCTCTGTAAAAAGCTTCTTAAAGCCGTAAAATGTAAATAAAAACTAAAAGTAACCAAGGGACTGTAAGGATGCACATGGAGTGGGCGGGACTATAGGGAGAAGTCAACCAGTAAGAGCCAACAGAGTAACCAATGAGAAGGAATTTAACTTTGGTTGCCATTGTAACTCCATTTGTCATTGGCTCCCCTCCACAACAGCTCGCCAGGCCCACATCCCGATTAAGGAAGCAGACAGGCAGGCGGATGCACCTACCCGTTACGGTGTAGCCACCAGCGGCCAGCTGGCCAGCCATGTACTCGCCGTCGGAGTTGTTGTGGGAGCATCCCCACGTCTTCACCCAGATCTTCTGAGTACCGGGGATGACACTGTAGAGGAAGGCAACAGGGCGACGAGCAGTATGAGAGCTAAGCAACCAAAAGATAAAGGAAGACAAATCTGAGGCACCAAACAGCTCCGACCCAAAAAAGTTAAGTTCTAGGCTGATACATTGGGCGTCTGTGTGCATCCAGGTGGGAAGAGTCTCACGGCAGGACAAGGTGATGCTGCAGTGGAAGCTACAGGTTTGTGGGGAAACCCGCCGCCTCCCCCTCTTTTCATTACGTTGACAGTCCGTCATTTAGGATAACATCACCTATCTGCTGCCCTCTCACCCAGACATGACAAAAAAAAAGACAAGCGCAACCCTGCAACATCAGCTGCTGTTCCAAACACAGTCTAAACAGCCAAAAAGAGACCTTACAGTTTTTGCACAGCACTGTACAATTGAGTAAGCAGGGTCAGTCAGTCTCTGGAGCAACTGGGAGCGCAAGGGCCTGACAGTGAAATCATCCCGCTGACCTTGGGATTTGAACTGGCAACCTTCTGATCACAGACACAAGGCCCTAATCCACTGAGCCGCATGCCGCCCCCAAAAAAGGACGCAGCCCAGATGCAGATGAACTGTATAAATTATATTCTTCTGCTACGTTCTGCTACCTCTAACGACTGCTTTCTTCTGGCAGTTTTACTGCGGTTTACTCCTTCAATGCAGTTCAGGATATGAGCAGCCTGGACTAAGAAATAAAGTGCAAGAAAGCGGCTCCTAAAGACTGAGGGAGAACGACGGAGCTGAGAAGAAAAATAACAAATAGCAGCACTATAAACGAGACACAAGCCCCCGTCTCCCATCACGGTGCGAAGGCAGAGAGCGGCTCCTTACCTGTCCACCTTCAGCTCCTCCGCCTCCTCCTTCTGGTTTTTTTTCCGTGGCCGAGGCACAATGCCCCGCCTGGCAGATAGACGGTCATGGGGCGTAGGCTCCAGCCCCGACACCATGTCCTCGATGTCGTCCACATGGGAGTCGCAGGCAGCCGGCATCGCCTGCAGGGGAGTCATCAAACGACGGTCATGCTATGAGGAACACAGGAGGATTCGCGTGCATCCTGCCATCAGGCACTTCGCACTGCAAACCCCATATTTGTAATATTAAAAGGCACATATACCATCTGCTACTTTATAACTATTTTATATTATTTGAAAAATGTTTGTTTCCGTAACATTCCACAATCCGTTTTGCAGGATTCCATTTCTGTGCTTTTAAAAATTTGTGTGTCGTCTTATTTGGCAGTATATGTTTATTTGTTTTCACTTTATGTACCTCACTTCTGTATGCAGCAGAATGTCCGCCCGGGATCAATAAAGTTTATCTAATTTAAGATAAACGAATCTAATCTGAAATAAATTCAGGGGGCTGTATATTCACTGCAGCTGGCGCGTAATCAGCTTGTTTTGGTAGTCTTAGTAGAAGATCTACGTGTGTGTGGGGTTATATATACACATCTCCCTCAGAACACTGGAGAGTAGCAGACAACTTTGCTTATATGATAACATGCGATCGACGTATGTGTTTAATAGCTAAATGTGTTTAATAGATACTTAATCAACTAAATAGTTTCTAATTAGCCAGCGTGTGGACTGATGTAATTACGTACTGTGTAATAGCTGACAACAAACAATTCACAAGCTGTATGTTTATAAGCCAAAAATGGCTTGCATCTCACCTGTATTCACTGTCGTACGTTGCTCGCTAGAGGAAAGATGAGGTTTTTCGACTCTTCGTTTACATACGTTTTGAGATGATGGACTCCATGCTGGATTCAGCCTCTGACCTCGTGCTACGAAAAGCGGCGCAGGTCAAAATTCATTATAATTCGCGTTTTGAAAATGTGCCTGATGTTATCCGCTTTTTAACACCTTATATCAAACCAGATGAATTTCGTTACGCCGCCATGATTGTAATCGGTATGATTTGTTTTACATTTTGCAATGTTTCATTACATTTGCTAGTTTTATAAATATGTATATTAAAATATACACCTATGTCAACAAAAATGTCATATAGTTGATGTAATGAACTAATTGGTAAGAAATGTATTAATTTAATCAGCTGTTGTTTCTTTTTAAAATTTTAAGTTACAAAAATGCATTTTGATAACATTTGAGGAGGCCAAATGCATTATCAACTCAATTTATAATGGGAGATGCTATTTGCCCCCAGATGTCAATAGCAAACAATATGCTATTCCACTAAAAATTCCATGGCTAATGCTACACACAGTGTTACCCACCGCCGAAAATCTAAAATTCTTCCCCATGTGCTTCACATACATAAGGGGGGAATTCTCCCCCACCGTGAGAAATGAATATCAAGCCCTGTAGGTCTTGCTAACACTAGTTAGCAACTAGCAGGGTTACAGTTACAGGTTACAGTTTGTCTACAGCTAGCTAAATATTGGTAGAAAAAGGGTCAATTTTGTGTTTGATGTACCTTTAATATTTGTATCTCACTTTGCAGACAAAAGCTCATTGGTGAAAATCCTGCAGTGATGTGTAGACAAAAGCTCATTGGTGAAAATCCTGCAGTGATGTGTAGACAAAAACTCATTGGTGAAAATGCTGCGGTGATGTGTAGACAAAAGCTCATTGGTGAGAATGCTGCGGTGATGTGTAGACAAAAGCTCAGTGGCGAAAATGTTGCGGTGATGTGTCAACAAAAGCTCATTGGTGAAAATGCTGCAGTGATGTGTCTTCAAAAGCTCAGTGGTGAAAATGCTGCGGTGATGTGTCTTCAAAGCCCTCTTGAACGCTGTGCTTCACTGGTAGTTTTTGCTTAGGCAACGTTGACTGGAGAGATAGACCTGCAGTTGGATATTTCAGACCCACCTGGAAGCCAGGCTTCTCTACAGGGTGACTGTGCAAGGTCTCATCCAGACAGGACTAACTACCGGTAACATTAGTGATCTTTCACCACTGGCATTTGGAAATATTACAAACGAAGGCATCAGGCTTTGAGTTTTATTGTTTTATTTTCAATGTGTTCTGTGATAAGCTGTGTACGTGTTCAAAATGGTCAAATCACTTGGTATAGCAGGACAATAGATAATTTCTTACAAAATGAAAGGAAAGCAAAAATTACATATAAGTATAGCTGACCTACTAAAATAAGAAAAATGACATTTTTGGTTATAGTTCCAACTGTCCACACTGTGCCCCCCCCCCCCCCTTTTATAAATCACCATGCACCTGCCACTGGATTCGACACGACAGTGAGATTTTCAATAACCCTAATTACAGTTGTAATCTGAGGTAATAATATTTTAGTCTGTATATTAGACTAACGTAGTTATAGACTATATATAATTAAACGTTTTTATGTCTCACCTGAAAGAGACATTTTCCATTTCTTAGCACAAGAGGTTCCTCTTTCAACACAGAGAACAGTAGGCCTAAAGGTGATCGGTAAAATGGTCAACGGGAAATAAAACCAATATTAACGAATGAAATTACTGTTGACTAGTTTTCCTGCTCGGGTACCATAACCACATAATACGACCCTGTAAAATTGTCATGCCGATTAATTTGTGTCCTTTTACAGTAAATCTTTGTATCGCTGTGCTTCATAGTCGCCGCGACAAAGACATCGGTCCAAAAACGCCAGTTAGGGCAACATCAAAAATGGCTTAAATAAGCGCGATATGTGGAGAAGGGGCTACACCTAATAAAAGCTTCAAGACCATTAGTTTAACTCAATGAAATTGCATTATATTTAGCACATATGCAGGCATTAAGACCGTATCAGCAGCCGCATTTAGTAAATGATCTAACCAAAACACAGCCGTAATTTCCTAAGGCTTGGATCCAAATACAGAACTAATAAAGCCTCACGAATTTCCGGTGCCCTTATAACGCAAGAGTGGCGTAGAGGCATTTATAAGTAGTTCCCAGCAACCTCAATATTTTACTGCCTTTCCGTTTTATCCACCATCAACTTTTGAAACTAACGAACCAAGCCCGTTTATTATAACCACAGCATAAAGCAATAAGATTTCATCTGTGACTGAAGATAACATTGCAAGTTTTTGCCGTTTAACAACTCAGGCTGAAGGACCACGAATATTATATAAAGAGAACAGAATCTGAGAGAAAATGGAAGCCTGAAAAATCTGCTTTACATTTAAACCTCTGTAATACATACATACATACACCAAGTATGTTACTAGCGTGACTTTAAAATATTTTTCTACCCAATGTTCCATAATTGCCAACTGAAACTGACCAAGCGCCCCATTTCCAATCTTCTGAAGTCCAATCCACCTCTACCCAACCCTATAAGTCTGCAGTAAAATTGCCAGACCAAAGACCACCCTACAAATATGTTTGTTTACATTATTCCATAATTAAGCACAGAAGACACAATAAGGCAGGAGTGAGTGTATTCATAGCTCGCCAATTTGGAGCCAGTACGTTATAGTTCACCCCAGTGAACGAGGGTCCCCAGGCATTGACTTTGAATCTGAGGATGAGCTCTGACTGTTGTCTGTGTGTACACGCCAAACACCAGTTAAGAGAATCAGGCTTTGTGGAGACTTGAGCAGGGTGTTAGAAGGCAACTCTCTGGGGAGGCCATTGTTCTACTGGGGGACTTTAAAGCTCAAATGGGTAATGACAGTGAAACCTGGAAGGAGGATCTCTGTTAGCTTCCGAGACTCCAAAAGTAACTGACAGGTACCAGCAGGCTAAGGCAGCTTTGGCAGCTCCGGAAAACGGAAAGTGTGGGACAAGGTTGGTGCAGCCGTCGACTTTGTCAGCCACGAAAAGATTCCGGCAAAGTGTCAGGCGGCTCAGGATGGAAAAGCAGGGCTTTATCGATACTGTTTACAGCATGGATGGAACGGTGTTCACCTCAGATGGGAACATCGTCAGGCATGTGTATGGAGAACTTCGAGGACTTCCTGAAACTCTCCGACATGCCTTCCTTGGATGGAAGTGGAGGAGGAAGTCTCAGAGGAAGACCTACCCACCATTAGGGCGGAGGTCACTGAAGTAAGGTGGTAAGGGTCCAGGGGAGGATGAGATTCACCTGGAGTTCTTCAAGACTCTGTTTTTAGGCTGTCTTGGCTTCACGACTCTTCAACATCGCATGGACGTTGGAGACAGTGCCTTTGGACTGGCAGACAGAGGTGGTCCTACTCTGGGACCCAAAGACGTATACCAAACTCAGCGGGATCACAAACCTCAGCCTCCCGGAGGTCGTCTATGCCGGGATTCTGGAGAGGAGGGTCCATCTGCTGGTTGAACCTCAAATGCAGGTGGAGCAATGTGGAGTCCATCCTGGTCGTGGAACAATGGATCAGGTCTTCACCCTCACGAAGATACTGAGAGTTCATGGGAGGTTTCTCACTGAAGCTACATGCGTTTTGTGGACTTGGAAAAAGCATACAACCGTGTCCCTCGGGGGGTCCAGGGGGGCTGCTTTGGGAGTGTGAGGTATGGGGTCCATTGTTACAGGCTATCATGCTCCTGTATAACTGGAGCGAGAGTTTGGTTCACGTTACCAGTTGTAAGTCAGACTCGTCCCCGGTTGGTGTTGGACTGAGGGCTGCAATCTGTCACCAATTCTGTTCCCAACTTTTACAAGCATAATTATTAGGAGCAACGAAGAGGTGGAAGGGGTCCAGTTCAGTGACCTCAGGGTTACGTCTTTGCTTTTTATATGTCGTCCTGTTGGCTTCATCGTGCTGTGGCATGCAGCATGCACTGGGTCGGTTTTGTCGCCGAGTTTGAAGCAGTGGGGACGGGAATCAGCACCAAATCTGAGGTCATGGTTCTGCCCTGGGAACACCTTGGTACCCACCAGAACAAGCTGGAGGAGGTGGCTGGTGAGAGGGAGGTCTGGGCATCCCTGCTTAGACTGCTGCCCCCACGACCCGACCCCGGATAAGCGGCAGAGAATCAATGGATGGATGAATGTTTATTAACAAATGGTTAGTATCTACAGGTACAACATATGTCCAAGACATAGAAACAAAATGCCCGTGCATTCTTGCCAGAAGTTCAAATAATCTTGTCTTCATCTCTCTGAACTCATACAACTGTGGGTCAAAAATAAAAATCCATTAAACGAGAGCGTCGTTTCCTCAACACAGACCAGAGAGACGAATTATAACACTCCTTTTCACCTAACAAAACAAAACAGAAATTTGACTTTACTTCAATGGGTGAAATGCTAGTCTATGCCAGCCTTCCGAGCCCATAGAGACTGAGCCCTGTCACATATACATCAGATGTTATGTAGAGACCTATGGCTCACTGGATCCACATCCAAAGCAAGCCTTATATCTTCCTTTTACCAAAAAGCCATCACTCCGCCTCTATGGTCATGTGACATTTAAGCCACGCCCACCTGAGGATCTGGGAGCCAGCCGAAACACTGACTCCAAGACTGTTCATGATTAAAAGAATGCTGGGAAATCTCAAAGGAGGGGGGAGGGAGGCTGGAGTTCAAGTGGTTTCAGGATACACCCCATCATGTGTCTTCGTAGGCCCAATCAGCAAAGAGAGTTCTGCGACCAGGTTAGAGAGGGCACCTAACACCACAAACACGAGAGAGGGGGAGTATCTTAAATGGACAACCTCAGAACCCAGTCCTGCCCCGCGTCCATCCTGAAAGACGCCCTTCTCAGAGGTGGCTGTCCAGCGGGTGTCGCTCGAAGTTGAAGAGGTCGCTGATCCCCTTGTCGTCCTCCAGGATGGGGAGGTACTGTGTGCTGTTGGGCGCTGAAAGCGTGACAAACAGCCCTTCAGAGCTGACGGGGGGGACACCAGGACCCCCCCGCATCTGCCGGGTGGAGCAGTCTGACTCTGCAGGGTGGGATGGATGAAAGAGTACACACTGTTACACAAACTGTAGCAAACTCTTACTAAAGGATGCCTACTAGTTACTAGATTGTTAAACATGCAGAACTGGTTCACTTTTTAGGTTGGACAAGAACAAGTGACCTGTTTAGCTTTATTGACACTATTTCTTTGTTGCAGTTTAGTGTGCCTTCCCATCCACCCATCCATCCATCCCCACTTTCCCAGCAAAAGGCAGTGTGGAGGTCTGGAGGTGGGACACCCTGGATGGGATGCCAGTCCATCAGAGGGCTCACACAGACCCATACTGTCATACTATGGGTGACACATGCACCATTTCACTTAGCTCCATACTTTTTGACTGCAGGAGGAAACTTCTGAAAACATGGAGGACACCATGGGGGGGGGGGGGGCATGACCCCCTTAACCCTGTATATACACCCCAAAACAGGCAGTGGCAGGCTGTTCTTAAACTACAGAATTCCATTTAAAGAAAAAGAGCATAACCAAATAATCACAGAATTTCTGTTAAAAGCCTTGGCTGAACCCACTCATTGTTGTGATTGTTTGAATTATGTCGTATTATGTTATTCCTTTTGTGTATTCTGTATTGTATTCATCTATATTGGTGTATTATATCTACATATAGTTACTGTCCTAAGTTCTACCCTGGACCAAACCAAAATTAATTCCTAAGTTCTACATATGAGAAAGATGCTTTCTGAGTCTGGGAGCGCACTACCCACAAAAGGGATTGCGGAGTGATGTTCATGTGAGGCAGGTGGGTTTTTCAGCTTCAGTGAAGCGGTTTGCAGCAGGGAGCTGACCTTCCGGGGCCGGTACATTCCCGTTCACGACACCCTCCGGGAGACTGTTGGCCGTAATCTCATCCGGGCACAAGAACACATTAATGGGCCCCTTGGTGCTGGTTAGGTGAATCTGAAATCTCTAATAGGAAATTGCAGCATCAGCAGCATTTACCGCCACTCAAACCAAGCTTTGCGTGGGGCCCCTGAGGTTTGAGGCCCCCTGCTGGTCACAAACAGTCACTACTCTAAATATTAAATAGACACATTCCATATTTAGGAGGTGCAGCATGCTCTGCTAACCAGCTAGCTTGGCTATGATCTGACGCTACTCGCTAGCTATTTATTTAGTTTCTGAAACATCTGAGAACCAGCAGGGGGAGCCCTAAGTGGATTATTGAATGGGGCACCAGAAACAACAAAACCTCCCCTGGGCATCGGCGTATCTCGTCAATGTCGGCGCACCTCGGGCATGGCGGGTAACTCCAGCTTGGTCTCGTAGGGAGCTTTCACCACCAGCACAGTCTGATCTCCAAGGCTTCCGATCAGCCGGATGTCCTGGGAGGTCACATACGCCAATGTCACAAGGATTAAAGAAAAGAATGAAGAAAAAACAGAGAGCGCAGGACTCTGACCAGAGATTTAAAGCTCACCACTTCCCAGCTAAGCGTCACTCATTTTTGTATGTTCATTTAAATCAGTGGTTCTCAGTCCTGTTCCTGGCAGCCCCCCCCCCACCAGAATGTTTTCATCCCAAGCCTTAATCATGCTATTATGGTGCTAAATAGGCTAATAATTAACATGGCAGGTAGAAAGTAGTGTGGGTTGGAATGAAAACATTCTGGCAGGGTGGGCGCGAGGAACAGGATTAAGAGCAACTGATCCAATTCTTCATTTCTCTCAAATATGTAATTATATACATATACACACATATGGATGGTGTGACAGCAAAGCCCAGTTTACTGATCTGCCCGGGCATCGTGAGTCCCTGAGGACCGCAGCGCCGGCTCGGCGATCGGCACCGAAACGTGACGGAAACGGAGGTCAGACCCTGAAGGATATTTCTGGAGGTTGGTGTTCTCAGCCATCTGCCTGATGCTCCGGACGCTGCCCTGGATGAGATGGTCCAGCGTCGCCTCCTGCTGGACAAGCAACCCCAGCTCTCGCCTCAGGGCGTGACAGCGGCTCAGCACACCCCGGGCCCCCGGCGCTCTGCGGCCGCTACGGGCGGAGGGGGCAGAGCTAAAGCGGGATCGCCATGGCACGCGGACTCCCAGGCCACTGAGTGCCCTCCACCCTTTATTAATAAACCACATCTTTAAACTTAGGTTGGACTATACCACCATCCCACCCCCCCACCACGGCCTGGACACGCACACCCACTGGACCTTGTTCTTCAGCGTCTTCTTAATGAGGTGGATGCCCGTCAGCACATTAGTGATGTCATACAGGCGTCTCTTCTTGACCTCGAGCGTCTCCGCAGCCTGGTTCAGATCCACCTCTCCGTCCGCAGACCGGTCCATCATCTGGAAGAACTTCTGGGTCAGAATGCCCAGAGACGTGTCATGGCGACTCCCTGCCGGTCGCACCGGCGAGACAGCTGCAGGGGACATGACCGCCTTCGTGACAAACGCGCTCACGGCTTCACCCAGAGCTGAAGGCAAATGTCAAGGACTGGCACACACTCTGACGGCAATGCTGCTGCAAAACAGCGTGAATGACAGGTGATTGGTCACCTTCAGAGCCAATTGCAGGACTCGGAGCTGTAACATCGCCCTTCTGCCGTTTGGACCCGCGATTCCCACTCTCTCTGTCAGACTCGTCCATCTCCAGCTGCCGTTTTGCCTGTGGGGGGCATTAATGGGAATAAGGTGGGGGCATTTGGCTAATTTTGTCCCCCCCTTGGTCCACATCCCACATATCTGACCAAATGCTTGCTTCAGGGGCTGCAAACAGAGGTTCACCCTAAAATTCCAGCAGGTGATGTCTGAGGAGTTCAGGAGCTCATCTCTACAGTCCCACATATAAAACAATCCCCCACCGGCCCCAAACTCCAAAGCTGGTAGATATTTCACTTCTTTGGACTCGTTGTTTTTGGCCTATAGTGAAGAGTCAAAACAATTCAAGCTGAATTCAACATTTTATACTCTGGACAGACAAAGCTCACAAGGAACAACCGGCGATATTCACCAGTCTTGCATCCAAGCCCAACAAAGCTTCATGAATAAGTCAAGCCAATTTAAAATTTGTAAAAACACCATCTCTGTCCTTCCTGAAAACTCCGGCCTCAATGATGCATTGGGAAAATCGCCGCCGTTACCGTTCTAGTCATGGCTGTCCAGTCTGCTGCTTTTTCCATCGGTTGTTAAGTCAGTTAGTACTCAGAATGAACAACGAATCCTTTTCCCTCATTCCTAAAAGCACTTAAAACAGAAACAAAACATAGACTAAAGCGCCTAAAGTGAGCACAGCAGACTTAATGAAAATGCAGCGTAAACAGTCGACCACCATGTGACAGGAAGTGTGTCATCACCGCCCTCCAGCACGACGTAGCGGCTGAACAGATTGCTGTCACCGAGCCATTGACATTTGTGATAAAGGTCTCATATTAACAGGCAAAGCAGGGAGGTGTTCCACCAGGGAGGGGACGGGAAAGATTACTAATAAACAGCAGCTGGTAGGGGTGTAGGGGGCTGTTCCATCATTATATGCAAGTGCACCCCTCCTTACTGGAATGTACCAACTCACTGCGGGAAGAAGGTACAAGTTCCTGCTTCTGCACGTTCTCCTGACCTCAGTCCTGCAGCACGTTTCCCATCGCCTTACTAAACTAACTACCGAGGCAGCTCCTGTAAGAGGCGCACCATGCAGTATGCAACAGGGGGAACCGGGGTAGGGGGGTGAATAAATAAACTATCACAGATAGGGAGATTAAATTGTAACACAGACAATACGCAGAAAAAAAAACATTAAATACATTTTCTGAAAATGTAATTCCAACTACAAATCGTTACAGGAGGTCATTCCTGCCACCATCTATAGCGAGGAGGAAGAGCCTCCTCCTCTAAAGCAATACATGGGACAATTTTACATTTATTTTGCACACATATTTATACATTTTGCATATTTGTATACATATTATATATACACAAACATTTGTAATTTGGTGTTACGTCTGCCCTTACGCCTCCCTCATGTTTTTGTGTTTCTGACATTTTCGCTACCGCAGCACGGAAACTTCCCCATGACGATAAATACGGTAATCGGAATCTGAATTTAATCATTGCCATTCAATACCAATGAGACTTCAACACATACATACCATTCCCTCACCATTATGATAGTGGACAAACAACATGTCCTTCATAAGAGCAAATCTGATGAAGGACTTCAAGGTAAACGCAGAGTGCAGTCTGCAAGCCGGGATGTAACCCACATTACGGCAGAACAGTCCAGTAAAATTATATAATGGTCTACAGCAGTGGTTTTCAACCTGTGGGCCGCGGCCCCCTAGTGGGCCGCGACGGTATTGCAAGGGGGCCGCCAATTATTATTAATAGAAATTGTAATATTGTTAATATAATAAAAAATGTCTAGTCAAAATCAAATAAATCATAATTTGATATATAATTAAATAAATTACCAGTTTATTCAATAAAGACAATTAACAGCCTTGCTTCCGANTGGTCTACAGATTCAGTTTCCATTTCTGATCTTCCTATTAACGGTGTGTGTCCATCTTTCACACCCAGACAGCTACACATGATGTGTCGACCAACGGTGCAACAAGAGTTTAGATTGTCATTTCCAAAGGTAAATTCAGAACCGCACAAAGTATAGTTAAGATAATAGTTAGTTATGGCAAAGCAGTTCCTCTGCCTAATGACAATGTCATTATTAAAACAGCTATTCATTACCGGCTGGCGTCTTAAGGCGGGTCCCGGCGCAGGATCGGTATAGATCGGATTCGGGTGACTCCTGCCGGCTGCCAGGTCCGACACACAAACTGGCTTTGTGAGGCATGATGTCGACGTAGTAATTTCTTTACGAGCAGAGCTGGAGAGGACAGACCTAACGCGACGTGACGACCTAGTTACAGGCCTACATTTACCAGCTTTAGATCCCCCACCATTTTTTAGTATCGGTCTTTTGGGGCCTGATGAGATCCGTTTTCTCATCTTCATAGATTTGAGGCTAACAGCCCTTCGCTTCTTCTTTACACCGAAGTCGTGTTTTCCTGTAATACAAATACCTGCAGCAAGTGTTACATGCAGATCTAATATGCCGATATTTTTTCAGCTTAATGTTATATGACTTGTTAGATGCATTAGATTGAGCTAACTAACACTACACCCTCCTGGGATTTTCAAAAATTGCCCCAGGAAGCAACACAGCGAACTGACACATAGTTGAATGCTGATTACGCACTGAAGTCCCTCCCGCGAAGCTCAAATTTCCCGGGAAAGGCTCTAATTAGCATAAACACGCTCATTGAAAAACCGGAAGCCAGCCCCGCCTTCTTTTAGCTGTAACACTAACTAGCATGAATACATCCATTGGCTCCGCTTTCAATTGACCCTAACTATAATTAGCATAAACACTGTCATAAAGCCATCCAATATACCGGAATATGCAGGGCCAGGGTAGTTAGATCGTGAAAAGATGACAGATTTAATTATGTGATATATTTATGAATTAAATATTGTATGGCAAAAGGCAAATGACATTGTCACCATTTACAAATTAACTCTGAGAATAGTAATGGTTAAAATGGTCCTTTCTATAGGACTATACATGTACTCTAATTGTGTGTAGACGTGTTGATTGATTGGTTTGAGGACTCGAAAACTGAGTGATTAGTTCCAGCCTCAGAATCATTAATAATTAAATCTCAATTATTTCATTTATACCATGTCTTGAAAGGTGTGTTACATGCATATCTCTGGGAAGATGAGACTGGCTTCTATGAAATCTTATTACGGCGTGGTTTGTGATTGTCTTTATTTCAATAAATCAAGGCTTCTTCAAAAATGGTTTACTTTCTAAAGCCTACATTAACGAAAAAGGACCCAGGCCAAAAAGTAATAAAATATCAAGCTGCACTTTCAAAACTTGTCAGCAGGTGGCAGTCAGGTACAATTGTGGTGAACAGTAATGAATGCTTTATATTTATTTAACATACAGACCACTCAAAATATGCAGTTCCGCCAACACAGCAGAAAAAACACGTGCTTTGATGCGTGTTGCTCATTAAAACAAGCCTATAGCTGAGATTAACTGCAGTTGAGTCTGACACACATTCAGTCACTGAAAGAGAGACGCCGCATGTAGCTTAAACCATCCCCTACAGATTACGCGCTTGCGTCTGTCTCTCAATGTACTTAATTGCACTGATTTTAAAAAAGTTGTACAAAAAATACACGTAAACGTGAAGCACTAATTTCCTCATTATTAAGACAGAATGAAACATTGCTGAAATACGCTTATCCCCGAGCTTGAACTGAATTAAAAACTCTCTTGTGCTTATAAAAATAGGCCTAATGCTAAAACTTTTGTGCTGATCGTCAGTACTTTGCTCAGTCGTCAAATCACATCCATGATCCAATAATTTGGCGGCCCATTTCATCCAAAGCGGCGTATATAGGGAAAGCGGGGTCAGACAGTCCCTAAAGCAGCTGGGGTTAAGGGCCTTGCCCAAGGGCCCAATGGTGACTCAGCCGGTATTACTTCTGGTCCTTCCTTCTGGTGTATAATCAAAGCAAAGTTTATTTATCAAATGCGCACTACAGCATAGAGCAGCAGAAGCAGGCAATGAAATGGATTTACTGTAAGCCCCTTGTAAGGCTCAGGCTCTGTTCCGGTTCTGGAAGCAAAGGCAGCGTTACGCGTTTCATTCTTGTCTCACCTACGGGTGTCGTCTTCCTGCATGGTAACAATTCTCCTCGATGACAGCAATTAACAGAAAAAAAACGAAGCAGAATAAGAAGTCTGTGCAGGCGCGCCCGGGGTTGCGAAAAGCGGGATTTTAACAGTGTGATATTTGTATGGTAGGTGCGGGGGAGCCTACGCAGTGCGCTTTAATTCATTTAAAGAATCACCACGATCACCAACTTCAACACGGATTCCGTCTAAAATAGTCAGCTTTCAACGAAACTGACACAAGCCTGATAAAGGATCAGTGAACACGAACAACGATGAAAGAATCGAATGCAATATCTTTATCGTCATTGGAAATGTACGGAATGTGCTTCCTCCACCAATGCTACACATCGTTTTAAAAAACAACTATAGTAGTAGTAGTAGGACATTAATAATAATAATAATGATGGTAATAATATAGAGATACAGTATAGGCCTATGGCTGAATAGTGAACCAACAAATGCAGTAGTGAAATTTGCAACATCAAACGTAGCCGTGACGATTTGGCGGAAATGGGAATGAGTAGGTTGAACAGGAATTTGACAGTTGACATACAGGCTTGCGGGGAATGACAGCGGGATGGTGGTGACCCATCCCAAAACAGAGGAGTGAGATCGCTCAGACTTCCGCAAACAGGCGCCGAAAGGTGACTGTTAGTTTCTGACAGACCGATTTTCAATTCAATGGGGGGCGTATTATGTTTCATACAAATCAGTGGGACAGCAGAGGTGTGGTTGCTTTTTCTTTTTCTCTTAGATCGGTCGGCTGGTCTAACCTGACCACCCAGGAAAATTCATGACCGCATTGTGTTTAACTTGGAAACTAAGCTAGCGATCATCGGTCGAGATAAACCATTGACACTATAATACACATACTTGTCTCAAAATAAACACAGGTTTTACGAAAGAGCCTTGCATTTTTGTACCACTGGTTTCTACAACTGAACAGACAGACGGAGATAATGACAGCAGAGGGACAATAAAATGTCATATAGCATGAATTAAATATCTTGGCAGTTAAACAGAATTTGATTTTAGCGCTGACTTAAATTCGATCAGTTATCAAACTTTAAGTTAACACTGCTTACTGTTTGTCGGGGGAGGGGGGGGCATGTATCCTAATGAATCAGTGCATTTATAGGCTACTTGCTCTCTGTATGTACTAGCATATTTATGAATCAGTTTTGCCTATGTTATTGCACAATAAGTCATCAGTTCGTCCCAAGTTACTTTGACCTGAAAGCAGAGTAAAGCCAGGGATCCCATTATAATGAGAATTAGGGTGTAGCTTGGGTTAAAGTGAGGTCCGAGTAGCGCTGTGAAGCGTCAGTCCTGAAAAGGCAGTTATCTCGCCTTGACGACTCCGCACCGACGCCGCACTGGTCCGTGCGCGCCCCGCCTTTGCGAGGCACCACCTCGCCTGCGATAAGGCGGTGCCAGGCGCCCTGCCTGGTCTCTCCCAGGCTTTTTCAGCCGGCGCAGGACACCATACCCAGTAAATTTAAACAGCACGCCATGGACACCGACTTTCAGGGATGGACGGGGAAGGGTTTCTATCGCTTCGCGAATGAATGAAAGATTCGGGCGGCGGTGGATCGGATCGGTCTCGGCCAGCTGCCTATAGTCCCGACACCGAAGAGTTGCTCTGCTCCCTCGGTCGCTTCTTTCCCATGCATCGGCAATGGAACAGACAGGCATTAAGTACAAGACGACGGGCTGCACTTGGCTACAAAGTGTCAGCGAAGTCGTGGGGTTCCCTTTGGACCAGGTAGGCGAGCGGTCGCACTTTTAATAAGGGGGGGGGGGACTCTCAGTATTTTAAATAAATCTTTTACCGATCCTCGCAGATCGGTGACGCCTTATCTCTGGGAAAGAGCGACACGTTTCAGAGGCAACAGTTGCCGTGATGTTTGTAATGAGATGCTTCATGCTTTGATCTGCACTCCAGTATGTAGATGGAACTTTATGACAGGTGACAGCCTGCGAACACGCCAGGAAACTCGAATCTGGGCAGGTCTGCTGGCACTGGTGTAAAGAGCCGTAAAGTTAAGCACATTGAAACACAATATCGTGATCGGCTCGCTAAACAAAGGACAACTCCTTTAATTTATTTAAGATTTTATTGTAACACGCACCCTAACCATTTAAACTGTTAAACTTTTAATGAGGCGTATGGGGAAATAAATCAAAATGGTCTGAAAGCCCGAGCAGCCTGTCCTACCCACCATAATATTAAATACTTTTTAAATAGTTTTTTATAAAATAATAATAAAAAAACATTTCGTCTCGTAAATAATGCATAAAGGTTGCCAGCGCTGTAAGGGAATGTATTCTGTATTTATAAACGCGTTTAGAAACAATTAAAGTCCGGTTATTATTTTCGGTATTTCTGACTCTGCTAGCCTCCTCCGAAGTTGTGGTTTCCCCTTTTAGACATGAATTAAAGTAGATAGTAACTGGCCTCCTATGTTTTGTTTGATTTCAGGGTGGATTTAGTTGTGCGCAGCCCACCTTCACCGGGTTGGGCTGACTGCGTGAATCACGGCCCAGTTATACCTAAGTAACAGATTTTTTTTTTTTTTTAACTCAATGGCCTGTATTATCATAGATTTACTCGTGCTTTTCTTTGCTTAAACATGCTGGGTTAGGAGATCGGCCAGACGAAGTTAAGCTTCTTCGTCACATGGTTCCGGTCATAATGTCGTTTGGGCCAAAAGAATGTAAATGAATGAAACGTGGACAGAAAGACCCCAGCTGCGCTTATAATGGGCTGCATTCATATCTCCCTAAGAGTATTCAAAGGCATCCAGCTATTTGTGGTATGCATTTCAAACAATATCTTTCAAACAATGTGGATGTTGTGGTGGTATCCAGGAGTATTGTCTCAAATGCCCATTCCACATAGGGGGCAGTCTTAGGATTTCATGTTGCCCTTTCCATTCCTAATTAAGGTCCAGATAACCCCCACCCCTCTATTTTCACAGGTGAACTTCCTGGCCTGTCAGTCTCTCGCCCTCCTGGCTGCCTTCTGGTTCCGCTTGTACCTGAGCCCCCAGCATGTCAGTCCCCTGGTCCGGCACGCCGTCGCCGCCCTGCTGGGCATGTCTTTCATCGTATTTTGCTTTGGCTGGTAAGGCACCTCTCGCCACCCTGGACGCCTGTGTGCCCCTGGGGACGCTTAGCTCACAGGTGTCCGGCTGACCCTCCCCGGTGTGTCATCTTCCAGTTACCGCCGGTCTTGGCAAACGGCACACTGGCATCTCCGCTGAGTTCTCTTCTTGCAGAGCTTCCCCCCTCCAGAGTAACCCGATAATGGCGACTTTGTGGCCAAACAAAATGAGCGTGTTTATCCCGGGCCGCACAATGTAGGAGGGAAAGAATTAATCTTGTCAGACGGGAATGTAGCCACACATGACTCCGGCGGTATTGAGAAAGCTGCGATGCGAGTTTCCCTGTCAGCCTCGGAGCTCGCACTCCGAAGCAGGCAGAGCTCAGCCGGTGCCCCCCATTCTGATCCACTTTACAGCGGTGTTTATGTAACCATTTGTAAAGCACAACAACAAATCCCGGCTAGGGTAAATACTGCCTTCTTTTCACGATCGCAGAAATATCGCTAGACAAAACAATGTGTCCAGATCTCAAAATTTGTTGCACATTTCCTTACAGGAAATTGTACAAAAACACAGCCAGGTTTTGCCTTTAGTTTAATAAGAGTGACTTTGGATTGCTGCTCTGAGGCCCTGCTGATTACTAAACAACAGAAGATGTCGTGTAGCATGGCTACTTTGGAAACTAGCTAAGTGTGCAGCTTTTGGGTGCCCGTCAATGGTTCAAACCACCATTCTCTTGGACAGTGTTTGCCAATGTGGTCTGAAAGGAACCCATAGAAATTCCATGTTTTTGCTCCCTCCCTGGAAGGGAGCAAAAATGTGGACTTTATGGCAGGGAGCTGAGAAGGAGCGAAAACGTTGGCCGCCTGTGGGTCCCCGAGGGCCGGGTAGGGAAACACTATTCCCGGAGGGTATCATCTGATATCCCTGCTGTAACAGGAGGCGAGAGCTCTCCGCAAACATGCCATAATATCACAGCTCCATTGCTTGCGTTTTGAAAATAATAAATCATATTCTGACGAACAGTGCCAGGACGGATGGCTAACCTTAAGGCGGTTAATGCACGGCCACTCTCGGGAAATCCAAAACACTCTCAACACTGGATTTAATGGTAAAGGTAGCACTAATGATTGCGTTGATCAAGGTCATTGGATTGCAATTAATTTCTCCTTATCTTTTACTCCGCAGGTACTCATTACATATTTTTATGCTGGTGTTCTCCTGCTACTGCATCATGATCAAAGCAAACGCAGACAACATCCACAGGTAACCGTGGTGAGACACTGTCACTAGGGGTATTATTTAAAAAAAAAATAAAAAAAAGAGGATCTTTAGCTGGAGTGAAAAAAGAGTAACACATTTAAAGTGAAGTGATATCTTTACTTATGTCTTTGGATTAGATCTCATTTCCTGTTTGATGCTTGTGAAGTGTAGTTCTTTAAATATCACGTTTGTGAAGGAGTTCTGTGATCCTCAGTCCCACTGGGAACTGTCTATTATATCCCAGCCTTGATTACACAGTTTTAGCCCTGAAAAGCAGAACTGAAGAAAAAAAAAAAGTATGATTCAGCTGCCCTGGGAGGTGTTTAATAATGAATGATGTATTAACCAGTTGTTCCAAATTTACTCAGACATCAGAAATACTCAGCAGTGTTTTGGGTGCATGACTTCATGTGAGAGTCACCGGCATCTGTCCAAAGAACCTTTGGCAAATTTTCAGGGTAGTTTTGTTCACAATGTCTTAAATCTGCTTGGTTCACCAAAAGGCCAGGTGGCTTTAAACCTTAAATCAGACCCTCCCTTCCCCCCCCCCCCCTCCAGACTTACGACATCACCTCAGTTTAAAATACTGTGTGACCCACATTGATGACGAATGGGACAGGGGGATAGAACTCATCAGCCGTGAGTCATGTTCTCCAGAACGTCCAGAGACAAACCCAGAATCTCCTCTCGGCTCTGTGAGGGAAACTCAGCCTTGCAGACAGAACTCCCCTGCACTCAAACGGCAGTGATTTCGACACTGACGTACTCTGACAAACCAGCCGTTTGCCCGTCACTGTTAATCCGAACCAGTACGGCTCAGTTCTTTCATTCCCTCACACTTGTTACATACATCAGCATCATGGCCACAAACTCAAAATTCTAAATCTCAAGCCAGGAAATATAATCTGATAAAAATTCTCCACAGTGACAAGAAAGGTTAGAACGTGGGTGTCTGTGCGGGGGGGGGATGGCAGTTCTATTCACCTAAAATTCAGATTACGGAGTTATTTCTGCGCTCGCAGACAGACCGGACAGGAAAGGCCTGTTTGTGCGTCTTCAGGTGACAGCATGTTTCATTCAGGGTTTGTCTGGTTACCCCGGTATTATATTCATAGCCTGAACTTCTGTTTGGTGTGTTAGCTTTTTATTGCCTGATAAATCGCACTGCTGTTTTAAGGTTAAGATGAAGCATCATTGCTGTTGAACTGAAAGTAAACCTGGATTAGGCAACGACTCATATAAAAAGGTCTGACAAACGTGGGAACCTGCATCAGCTGTTACTGCTTTCCAGCATAGTTGTCGCTCAGGAGGTTAGACTCTGGTATGAAGCCCATCCTGAGGAGAAGAGTCACATCACATAAGGGCCTTTGAGTAAGGTTGTTAACCCCCCCCCCCCCAAAAAAAAAAATGCTCCAAGGGCAGTGGATAAATGGCCAATCCTGTTCTCAGACGCCGGGTTTCTATCTCACCTGTGGGTCGTGTGTATATATTATTTTGTGGGGTCCCCACAATGTGATAAAAACTTGTTATGACGCTGTGGGGATATTTTTTTCAGTCCTCATAAGGGCAAAGTCATTAAATTTAATAATAATAAAAAAACTAACTGTAATCAAAAAATTAAAAATGTCTTGTATTTTGTTTGGTTACTTATGGGTAAGGTTAGGGCTGGGTAGGGGTTAAGGTTGTCGTTGTTGGGATTAGAGTTTTTCTTATAGAAATGAATGGAGAGTCCACACAAAGATATGAATACAAATGTTTGTGTGTGTGTGTGTGTGTGTGTGTGTGCGTGCGTGCGTATGTGAGAGAGACAAAAGAGTCACACAGAATAAGTGGTAACTAAAGAATTCCAATGTACTTGTAGTCTTGCTCGTGCAAATGTCAAAGAAAGCGTAATTTGATTTGCGTTTCAGATACTCTTTGATGGTGGCGATGGGCTACCTCACAATCTGCCAGATCAGCCGTGCCTACATCTTCAGCTATGGCATCCTGTCCACCGACTTCTCCGGGTGAGTCTGGGAAGCCGGCTGCAGAAATGGAGACGTGGAGACCAGCAACTGCTGAGATTCACACTCAAGGGGATATAAAGGTGGATATGCGGTGCCTATAGAGGATGACAGTTCACGGCTGAGACAAATCAGTCAGTTAGCCTGGAGACATAGATATTTTGTTCTAGATTTGCCTCAGACAGCAGACAAAGATCTTTGCTTGTTTCAGCTTGTGGACAGTTAATGGTTTGCTTCTCTTTTCTACATTTCTGTAGAGATCTATGTCCCCTATTCAACACAAAAGAACAAGTGTCACCTTTCACTATCTGCTTGGGTAAAATAAAAAAAAAATAAAAAAATCTGAATAACCGAAATCACATCCAAAACAAAGAAAATCAGCAAAGCAGCCCCCCCGCCCACCAAGACTCGGAGAGGAGAGCGTTTGAGTGTGGGAAGGAGAAGATGATTAGTTAAAATACCCTTTGAGTCTTTAATTCAGGGATCCTCATTCACAGGTTAAGTAGTTGCTCAAATGTACTGGGAGGTTCACTGGTGTTTTTATGGTTGGTGAGACTTTCTTTCCTATCTGCTGTTTTGCCAGTTCCCCCCGTTAAGAACACGCCCTTAATTAAATACAGAATTAATAAAAAACCTGACCACTGTTGACTCAGCGTCAGCCAGCCTATCGCAGAGCCTGTGTAGACAAAGGGGCTTTTCTGCAATCTGTGCCACAGAGGAACACAGCTGAGGGCAATTTCAGGTGGTGGAGTGCAGGGGCCATCAGCTGAAACATATTATGTTGTCGAGCCCCGATGATGATGATGATGATGATGATGATGATGATGGTCATGTGACAGCTGTCCTCCAATTACACTTCATATCTCTGACTCACATTAAACTGATTCTTCCACTCCTATCCTTGAGCCCAATTACCCATAGTGCACCACAGCTATACGGATGAGCCAGTTAGGCTCCAGGATACATCCTCTTTTCCTCTGGGTACTCCGGTTTCCTCCCACAGTCCAAAGACATGCTGCAGCTTATTGGAATTATTAAATTGCCCATAGGTGCGCATGTGTGAGTGAATGGTGTGTGAGTGAATGGTGTGTGA